AGTGTAATTGTCCCGAGAGCGTCCCAGAAAGCAAACTACTCGCCTAAGGGCGAAGGGATGTCCGCTGTGGGTTTCCTCAGCCTCTCGACGAAGCTGCTCTTTTCCTATCCATTGATAGGGGAACGCCGACATGCTGCGCTAGGAAATGCTGATACAAGACTGAGAGCTGCACTCGGGTTGGAAAGCCACATCCCCGAAACAAAAGCAGTAGTAAAACACCAAGTTTAGTAAATGTAACTACATCCTATTAGCAGCTCTGGGCAGTGCAGCTACATCAGCAAAATAAACTTTTTCGTGTCTCCAGCAGGTGACTTTGTCACAGATGCCTGGTGTGCACATAACTACCTGTGGCAAAGTTACGACACAGTTGACTTTGTTTAAAACTTCAATGTATTGAAGAAATAGGTTAAGAAAAATCTCAGCTTTTGGTAAAAACCCAATGCTAAAAAAGTTTGTAACTCTCTCAAGTTGCAGAGAAAAGACTGAAAATAGGACACATTTAGGTCCTAAGGCCTCAGAAACCAGATGGCAAAACCCGTCAACTTCATAAACTTAGTCTGGGGATTTGGAAGGCCAACTCCACTTTTTTTTTTTCTTTTTTAATTTTTTTTTTTTTTTTTTACTTTGGCAGTGCTGAAGATAACTGATATTGGTAATCTTTTTTTAATACACTTACTTTTCTTTGTAAGGCAATGCAGCAATAATTTTATTTTATGAATACTTAAGAAAAATAGTTTTCTGATACACCTGTAGGATTCAAGAGTATGTACAATATAAATAAGATGAAGTTACAGAATTCAATGAAATTATTTTGTGGTTTTTTGTTTGTTATATAAAGCCCTATAATGATCTCATTTAGACACTGTTTCTACTAAGCCATATTTAAAAACATGTAATTTAATGAAAAACAAATGTATGTTAAAGGTAGCTCACTTCTCATCACATCTGTTCACTGTGAATTCTAGGCCAGGTCTCATGATTATGTGACTAACGTATTGTTTGCTCCCATTTCCCTGCAGAATCAACACAGCTCAAAGAGAAGGAATTGAAACCTATTCCTTCCTGTGAATCACCACACAAATTGTTTGCAGGACTCCAGTCAATTGCAGATGGAAACCCGCTCAAGAGAATAGAGGTTTCTTGGTGCTGTTTGGGTTTAGGGTTTTTTTGTCTTTACTGGTGGTAATGTGGAAGCAAACTATTCAGCTTAGAACAGAAGGCAGAGGAAGTTGGGCAAGCTGATCAGACTTAATTCCCCAACCCTATCTGTACTCTATCTGAATGATTTTGATATGCAGCTTTTAAAATAAAGTAATTTTTCACAATAAAATAGTATTACTTTCCGTTTAATAAAGGGCTCAATTCAATTAAGCATTAAAAAAAAAAATCCTTTGTTTTCTTCATAATTTTAAGCTGTTTTGTTGCATACAGTGCAATGGTTCACCTCGTTTGGAAATGTTAATTTAATCAAAGTAAATGATCACAAATTCCATCCTCTAGAATACATTCACCCATTTATGTAGTCTCTAAATTAAATGTTAAATTACCAGAGCAGGTTACAATTATAATAGCCTTTACCTTAATGCGTTTTGGTGAAGTTAGTTTGCTTCTGGATTTTTCTCCCATTTTGGGACCAAAGAAGTGACCTCCAGCGTCCAGCAGGGAAAGAATAATTCCATATAGAACATGTTAACGAGAAGACAAAATCTCTGTAGACCACAGTTCAAGAGATACAAGAGTAACACTGGGTATAAGGTCTCCGCCTTCTTTCATGGCAAGGCTTTCAATTCTTACCATTTCACAGCTGTAGCAGGCTGTTTCCCCTGTTAGCAAGGAAGCCCTTACACTAGTGTTGCTTTTCTACTCATCTTCATAACTATATACTGGGCCAAATCTCTTGGCCCTAGGATACCTTAAGCGTCTGTCTTTCTTAGTTCTGGGTTTCAGCTGCAGTAGTTCCAAACTGCAGTTATGTACAGCAGTTTGACACTGTGGCAGAGAAGATGAGATTCGTGACTCTGTCAAAGGAGGAATCTGTCCGTACTTCAGCTTCACAAGACTTCGCACAAACTCTTAGCTTTTGACCTGTAAATCATGGGAAGGCTTTGCTTGTCTTCTGTACCAGGAACAGGAAACCTAATTCAATGTCAACTGAGGGATTTACAGAGCTGTTAATACCAGCAAGTAGAGGAGCACACTAAGTATAATATAATTATTACGCCAACAGTAACGAAAAACACTGTCCTACTGCTACCAAATTCAGCAGCAGAACTTCAATGAGAGGGGAGAGTGACTCCTAGAAGAGCAAGAAATTATTCACTGTCTTTTATGTTTGTGAGTCAAGGAGCTTATAGCAGCCTAGGAGCTGTTTTAGTCTGCTAGGCCTGCCTTTAGGATTCATATTTAACAGTTTAATATGCTTCCGTCTTTGTTTTAAGATCTCTTTGGGATTTCAAGAATGTTACATTTGCATGTATGCAACTAATACTACTGTACTAAGAACAAATGCCCACTAGTATTTCCTGCTCATTTTTTTCTCCCAACTAAACCTAATTTGGCTCAGATGGAAATAGTGGAAAAAAGGTGCATGAAGAATAGGGCCTACATATTGAGAGCTGTGTCAGTTTCTGATTATCAGAACCACCGTATCTTCTCTTACTGAGGTTCACATATCTCCCAGTGGAAATAGGAAAAACCAGCCACTTCAACTTGGGTGTTACGCCTAGCCTTGTATTATTTCAGTTCTTGATTCAGAAATACACGGTATTGTACTTCAACAGTAGAACGGGTTCAGATGGAGGGTAGGAAAATGCATAAAGAACCATCTCAAAAGCCCCGCCTAGACACTGGGAGAAACATTAAAAACACAGGGCAGAGAAGTGTAACTAGCTTAAAGAGAGAATCAAATGGAAACCAAGAACTATACAGGAAGACCTGCTGATGGGGAAAAAAAAAATGTATTAGAGAGACTAACCTTAACATTTATTCCCAGACTTCTACGTGTATGAAAAAAACACCACAAAGGAAGAGAACTGAAAATTACAAAGGAAAAGGGGGAGTAAGAAGAGAGATGAGATACAAGACAGGAAGAAACTGAGGTAGTACAGGAGGAACAAATAACACCCACAAGTGACAGCAAAATCCTACAAAAGAACCTCATTTAGAATTGAGGATTTTTTCCATACATAAATTAGTTTATTTTCATTTAGATATAAAAGTTATAAATACAATTTATGTAAAACAGTATCTGATAAAGGAGCACTGAATCAGTTCATCTGTCTGCATAATTTGACCAAGACCCAGAGGCCCTGACCCTACTAGGATCATTTGATGTCAACAAATAGCTTGAAGAGCCACTGCTGACAAGCCTAACTGAAAGGGTCAGTAAAGGTATGCTACTGTGGCCTTCTGAGCACAGACAAAATCATCTTGAATTGGAAATGAGCATTCTACCTTCAGATCACCCCAAACTAACATAAGGCAGTTTCTTTCACACAGTCCTAGTCAGAAAAATAATCAAACAGGTAACAAACTGACTTAGTTTTTCTGGATGGGTAGAGGGAATGCAGAGGCATCAGCCAAGAACTGAGAAGAGCACAACTGGAAAACACTGCCAGGTCTTGTCCCCAGCCTGATGAGCAGGAAGTACATGAAGGCACAAGAGAGATCCACGATTCAAGTTCTCTTCGCTGACTGCTCTGCTGATGAGATCTTCTCAAGACAATGGCTCACCAGCTAATGCAGAATGGGCATCTGAGAGGTACGCGAGCTGGAATTCTCAGCATCAATTCATAATTTACAGTTAAATACAGAGTTTACACATGATTACCATAATTTTTTCCCTGACAATATCAGAAAATGTCTTCACAAAATTTCATTATTTTGAAAGAGCAAGTGATATCTACCACTGCAAAGACTCCAGAGACCAAAAGCAATAAATCTGGCTCTTTGGAGCTTGAAACAGAGTTCATCTGCTGACAATGACAATATCCAAAGCTGGAGAACACCTATTCTTGTCTCAATAGAGGGATAGAGTTTTCCAGGATCGTCATGGATATGCACAATGGCCATGAAACAGTCAAGACAGTAAATGTTCTCTGCTTTAGTACACAGCAGATGTGTACAGTACGAGGCTTACATGTCACAGTGTGCAGCAATTCACTCTGATGAATCAAGGCCATATGAATCAAGAAGCGTTCCATGCTGTGACCTACAGTCTCCATATTGTACTTCCAGCATTAAAAATGGAACACTGGAAGGACACATTGCAAAGCCCCATGATACATTTATTAATTTTTTTTAAACTTACTGATGCGTTTGAAAACACCTGTAATCTCCTTTTGAGGTAACTCCTTCTTATAGTCAGGTTAAAATTATTTATATAAAATCTACTTTAATATTTCATGACTTGAGATAATCTCACGTTAAAAAAAATTAAATCAGTCACTAACTTATTCCTAAAAATGTAGCAAATTTTACAAACAATGGACAAATAAAAAAATATTTCTGATCAGCTCACAGTCTAGATTCAATCAATCAGAACACTGCTTTTCAGGAATAGTACTGTATATTGTTACAATACTACCTTCTGCCAAATTCAGTCAGATTCTATCATCTATTCAGTCTCATTTTTCACATGGTTAAGAATAACAGAAACAGCAATGGATACACTATCACCAGCTAAAAAGGAAGCGTTTGAGATTTGATTGTTCTTTATTTGGTAAAAAGACTGTCAAGGGATATGGAGCAATTAGAATAATGAAAGGGAACTGGACTATCAGCCTTAACAGAGAATCATCCCACAGAGTAAGAGAAGAGTGTTTTATTAGAGCCAATGTTTCATTCCAACTCTATTTGTTGAACATTACCTACAGTTGCACAGAGCCGTAACCTGAATCCTTCCGTGTCTGACTGTTGTAACCGACAGCAAAATGCTACACAGCGCAAAAAAGAACACATGCCAATAACTGTCCTCCTTTTTTCTGAATTCATCTGATCAGGAACTCAAGAGTTCATGATCAGATCAGTAGCATCATCTCCGGGGCACTGTGGAAGTTCCAAGGTATATGAACACTAAACCATTATTTTTCTAATCCTAGCTGCAAGGGGTTCCAATTAGTGGGCTAAATTCCTTAGCCCACTCTCATGCAGCATCTGTTAAAAGGATTCTGAAAGCAGAATCAACACCGATGACAAAAACATCACCCATATTTCTTGTTCTTCCACAATGCGTACAGAGACTGCTCAGTCTTGGGACAGTCTCCTAAGACGGTCTACTGTCAACTACCATAATGCTCTGAGGCCTGGTATTTACTTTCTAATAAGCCTGCAGAAGTCTGTCCTCCAGTTCCGTTCCATCCCCAATGTGCTTTTCATTACTGCACCTGGAACTCTTACAACAAGATGCAGGGATGGGAGTGAGTTCCATGTTTCAAGTCTGTTGTCTCTCATTCACAGGCCAATTTACTATCAAAGCTGGAGAGTCCAATAGCAAAGGCCTGAAGAGCACAGAGAGGATAATTATAGTCCAGAGTGAACACATCTTCTGCTACACGACCAAACTGCATCACAATGTAGTCAGCTGGGGAGAAAAGAAAGATTCAGAGACAAACAATTTCACAGTGGAGCAAAGAAAAAACCCAAACAACCACAAACAAAAAACACACGTCTCGCAGTCCCAAATATATGTGGTTGGTGCATCCATTCTTTCTCACCAGAGTGTCCTTGAAATCTGTTCTCTAAAGTGACCGTGTTTAGAGATTACCTTTCTTCTCAGAACCAAAGCTCAAACCACTCTTTTGCTGGGCTGAAGGTGCCATATTAATCCTTTTCTTTCCCTTCATGAAGCTTGCATTTGCCCCCTCTTTTGCTGCCACTATAGACAGCAGTCTCTGCACCCACCCCAAAAAAAGGGAGGCCTTATATAATTTTCTTGACAGCTGAGAAGTCCCCAGTAATCCTGAGCTGAATTCCTCCACCCAGTCTCCCTTCTCCAGGAAAAGAGTCCTACTCCTCCCAAACCTCATGAAATAAATTGGGTTCTCCCTGTTCGAGTAAGCCCCACACACTCTCCACCAGACTCTTACGGTCATTGTCATGGACAATCTGGAAGTTCTTCACTGAGGCCTGAGTGACTCTCCCATGGAAGTTCAAAACATAGGATTGAGTATCATCGTTCCAGACTGGAGCCTTGTTGTGCAACTCAATGAGATTCTCTAAATTTTTGTTTTGCCATTTTGACAGCAGACTCTCATGTTCCTGTTCAGAAGAAAGAAGTATTTATCAGATTTGGAATGGCTCTGCTTTTGAGTACTGCCTCTCTCATGTGCGTGCACTCCGTCACTTGAAGGTCATTCCCTGGTTAATGAAACACAATGACAGCACTTAAACTCAGTCCTACTGAAAATTTCCTGCAAGTACCAGGAAGATACACTCATGGATTCCCAGTCCAAGCATTCCTTTCCACTCAATAAACTATCACCATATTTCCACCCAAACAAGAAAAAAGAGTGAGAGAGAAGGAAGTGCGTGTACAGGAAAGGGAGCAATTCACAGGCCACAGATGACTGCCATCCAGCTGGCAAGAATCCCTTCTGAGTCTCATAAGCTTTCTCTGATTCTCTTGGATCCAACTTCCATTTCTAACATTCTAAACTTTGAAACAAAAGAAAATAATCTACAATTAACTGCATAGTGCCAGGCCTTGGGGTGCTTCAGTAGAAAGTCCAAAGGCTGCAGCGAGCTGTAAGTATGCCTTAAGTAGGTTAAATGTCATCCTATTGGGTCTAATAAGTGATGCACAATATAAAAAAGAGAAATAAAACCAAAAAGATAAAAAAGGAGGTAAAACAGCACATTAAATTTGACAAACATTGAATTACAAGGAGCTGCACATAGTAGTGAGTAAAACACATGACATACAATTTAATTTTAAAAGTTCTGCAACAAATAAAATCCAAGCTGAAATAATATATGCTAAAACTCCCAAGAAAAAGAATCCAAACTGAAGTTATTTAATGGAAAAAAATTATCAGAAAACAACCTGTTGTAGAGGTCTGACTGACACAGCTATAGTTAACTGTTTTAGTATTGTATACAGATATGATAGTGGATTTTTGAGGATAACCTAAATAAAACTTATTGTTCAGTTTAAACTAGTTACTTTATATCTTTATTTTTATCTTTATTTACTTTTTAAAGATGCAAAAAGAGAATTGGCACCAACAAAGTGCATTTAGACGCAATTTTTCCTCCTTTAAAGTGGGGGCAGTATTGCTTAATTGGAGGCATCGCACTACAGAGAAGGAAGACAAAAATAGACTCAAACTCCTACACTGAAAGCTTTGCCAACTTTTCAGAACAGCTTTGTGTTTCAGCCTTGTCCCCTGTCAGTACGTTTGCCTGCTAGCAACAGTTGGGAAAATAGGGGAGAAAAATAAAGGCAGGGCCATGGAATCATTACTGTACTGACGGGGCAGATGGCAATACCAATTGAAAGATGATGAATAAATGACCACCTCCAGATACAATTTTCCTGCCCATTCACAAAATTAAACCTCTTTTCCAGGCTCTCGTGACTCTGAATTTTCACTCTTGGAAGATTTTTTTTTCTCTGACCTCAATAAATACACTCTTGTCCTACTCACATATACTCACAACATGGCTGCAAATACCATTTTCTAGCTTAAAACACTGGCCATGTCCTTCAGTTGGCACCTGTCCTTCCTGCCTTTTGGTCTTCTATCACATCAAACATAAAACTCACATTAAGGGAACTAAACGATTTTCATCATACACCTTAATACATCTTCAGATACAGTTCTGTAAGCTTTTAGCTATAATGTCCCCCACATGTATGAGAAATCCTCACTAAATAGTCACCACAAAACTCCATCCTTCTCCTCATCCCACTTTCTCCTTAAAGAATCCTCCTCTTCTGTGATTCCTACAAAGAGACTGACAACATTCCGATCAAAAATGTATTTACTCTCTTGCTACTACACCAGAATACCATCTTATCCATTTATTATCTATCTGTTGTAATTCATATACTGGCTAAGAATGTAAGCTCCTGGGAGAAGCAAGTTTGTTCTGTGTTCATTCAACTTTCAGCATAACAGGGTCGCACCCATGAGGAGGGGTTGTAGGTGCAACAGCAATGACATACACTAGCCACTGCAATAGCTAAGTAAATAATATTTAGGCTGACCAAAGGACAAACACTATTTAGAAGGCTACAAATGAGGTAAAAGGCAAGAACAAATTAATCAACACCTTTAGGCTACATTGTATTTACTCTCCATGAGACTTGCTAAAGCCCTGGGTATTAACAACCTTGCTCTAAAAACCGTGATCATCAGTAACATCCAGACCTCTATGAGAAAGTTTTAACCTCTTCCTCCAATCTGAAACATGACCAAACTCCGTAACTCACATTTCGTGGACGGATTGGAATTCGCTTATGATTCATATTCATTCCTGGAATGATCACAGACATTTTTCTGGGACCCTTGAATCCTAACACATTGGTTTCCTGAAAGACAAGGCAAGACATTATTTTCAGTAAATGAGATACTCCATCTCAAAGAAGGAAAAACAGCAAAACTAAACTTGAATCCACATTTATGTTAGTTTTTAGAGATTTGCTAGCTACAACTGTAGTAGCAGTTATCTAACTGCAACTGTGTTTAATCACTGAGAACAGCTCCCATTTTGAGAACTGTGTTAAAAGACATACATAGTATTACCTAATTTAGAGCGCATCTGTTATCCTAATGAAAAATTTATAACGAAATCAGACAAGTGCAACTTCCAGGCATAAGTTTTTGTATCTCAGACAAAATCGTGCTAAAATCTTGCTAGTGAACAAGCCTTAAGTATGATAAAAGGCAAATATCTTTGACCTGAGTCTGTTATCTATATATCACCATTTAGGCTAAAATGTTTCTGAAGAATGAATTACTTTCTTCTTTTGGTGCCGTTATTTATGTTTAAGAGCATACCTACAATTTTCTCTCAAATCATGCTCTTTCATAAATGATTAAGAACAGACCCAGAAGGTAAAGTATTCAGCATCTGTCCAAGCTTCAATCTTAAGACAAGCAGATTTTTCCAGAGTACTGCAGGACACTGCTCCAAGTGGACTGAGTATAAAAAGCAACGGAAAAAAGTCTTGGCATTCTCAAACCATCCATTTAATAATGTCAACCAAAATCCAAGGGTCCATTTAAAGTGTTCTGTAACAATGTCGGTGATAACCTTTAAAATTCCCAAAGACCAATTAAAAAGCCAGAATCTTTTAGAACTACTGAATTGATTGATAGAAGTGATACAGCTTCTCCTAACGTGCTAGTACATTTTGCAGGAACAGAACAGAAGTCTTTGGAGTTGCAACCTCTATTATTTCACTTCACTTATATGAGAATGAGGGTACTGATTTTATTCATATATAAACTTCATGAACTTCTTGTAGATTAAAGTTCAGAAATCCGAAAAGCTGACTTTATATTATCTGCTGTACTCATTTTAACACCTTGCTGTGTACAATTAGGCAGGGAACTGAAGAATACTGTATGCAAAGAAAATATTCAGTGATACGTCTGTAAACAGGCTAGTGCTGGAATTATCACATCAATTTTGTTCCCAAGTGCCGTTAAGATCAACAGCAAAAAAATCAAGATCATGCTCCAGTAGACTAACATGCCTTTAAATTTCTGCTGCTGCACCTGTGATAAGAGTAAAAATCCTTCCAATTGACTGGCCATCATTTTGTAAAGAACCTCAAATTTTACTTGAACTTTAGGACTGGAATATGAGACAATGTGACATGAAAGCCCTCACGTAATTCTAGAGTGTCCACAAGCACCTCCTCACTCTGAAGCCTAGACCGAGGTGATCCACAAGACCAGAAGAAGAAAACACCTCTAGGACAGAGCTAGCAAATCACGATTTCCCCTGGAACCATATCCTTACCAAGAAGCTGCTACTGAAATAATACCACCTCCTTCCTACCCCTCACAATGCCTTTGGTTCTGCAAAAAATAACTCTACTTCACAGGGTACTCCCAGTTCCTTCTTAGTGTCCACCAGATACCAGCTGGGCAAGAGGCAGTTCACGCTGTGGCTGGCTCCATGTAAACGATACGCCGACTGGCCACACACCGAGCGATAGGCAAGGTAAGAAGGTCATCAGGATGTTAGTTTGGGTCTCTCTTCCTCCTCGGCATTGATTTTCTTTTCATTAAACTTGTAAGAACTTATCTTGGAGGCCTCTGCGCTTTGTTGTATCTGGTTGAAATTGGTCAGCTGGTTCCCAAGTTAAGTGGGGGAGGCTGCCAGGCAGCATGATTTTGTAAGCCCTGTTTCCTCGGCAACCAGGCGACAAAAAAGAAAGGGGCAAAAGGGGAGAGGCACTACTTACATAACAAATAGCTGCAAGCTCCTGTCTGGTATGAGCCTTTTCCACTAGACCTTGTGCCTTGACTGGGCTAACTCCATGGTCATAGACTGTAAATTTAGTTCCCATGAGGTTTGACCTAATGTCGGGTTATGGAAAGACAGAGAAAGAGAGAGGCATCAGTGGAAAGTTTTGTCATCTTCTGAAGGTATTTGTACAGCACAGTGAAAACACACATCTCTTGCCATCTGAATCTTCCTATTGCCAGCTCAGTAAGGAGCTTCTGCGAAGCACCCATGGTGAACTGAGCCTGTAACCTATGCTGGAAAAGCATCACGCCAGAATTCCTTCTCCGAATTGCCACGGTGAATGGTAATGCTGAAGAAAGGTTGCCAGCCCAGGTGAATACAGATTACATTGAGCAGGAGGATGCGAGTTCATTCTCTCTGAATTGATACCAGATTGCTATTCATAACCCCAACTCAATTAAAATGAAAATCCAATCTCTCCTGTCTGTAGTTTTCATCTGTGGTTCTCACCTGAGTTTTCCAATGAAACTTTCCCCTTCCCGGGATAAATCAGTTGGGTCAACTGATATGAGGTAATTGGATGTTTTGCTCTTTTTTCGTTTTCTCCCTGCAAGAAGGAATGTCTGGAAATACAAAACTTTGATCAAGACTGGAGCTTTGTGAGAATGCAGAAGCATTGCTAGGCATTGCTATCCAAACTATTATCTCTCCATTTCCCACACCCATTCCCCTTTATATTCTGTGCTGTTATTACTGTCTCCACAATTTTGATCTCTTCCACAAGTGCACAACCTGAAATCCTATTCCTCCAATCAGCTCACTTGGTAGTCTAGATTTAATGTCCGTTCTAGTCTTCCCTCCCTTTCTTCTGGAGCAGCTCAGTCTCCCTGCTCTTCTTTATCCTTGACATTTTTATACTTTTTTAATTTCATCTTTCATTGTATCTTCATTCATCTTTTAAACCTGCCAATTCCCTCCTTAGTGCCTTGGTCAAATAGAAGCTGTCCTCATCTGCATGCTGGCTCTCCTCAGCTTCTCGTTTCTTATAAGAAGCTCTCCCTTACACCAAAAATATTCTGTGGTAGGAGTACAATAGCCAAGATACCAATACCTTTCTGTTGTCATCCCTTTCCAGATGCATGTAATAAGTAGGGAAGAGGCCCCGGTCCATTCCCTTCTTATCTCTAGTGATTCGACACTTGACTGTAATACCACGGGGTGCAGGGCGTAATGCAAAATCCTCCAAGTTCTCTACTTCTCCCAGCTGTGCATCTGCCTGAGGGGATGGACTACAGGAAGCACCTGTTTCCTGTGGGAAGTACCACCATATTAGCAAATTAATATCAGATCAGAGGCTCTGGTATTCCCCAATAAGAGAAAGGTCTGTTGAAACAGAAGATCGCATGTCTCAAGAAGATATTTGGGAAAGGAAATTTAAACGAGAGACCACCTGTGCTTCTCTGAAGAAAGTGGCTGAAGACTTTTACTCTGAGGAAAGACTAGCCCTCCAAGGGGAGGGGAGAAAAAGTACCCATTAACCAGAGATGAGTGAATTGCTAGGAAGGGGAAAATAGGATGAGACATTGTAAATATTCTAAGCAAAGAGCCTCTCTGCTTTTAGAGCTTCAAACACTCTGTGGGAAATAAGGCAGCATGGTAAGCTGGACTAATGGGTGCTGCAGTAAGACAGGCTAGAATTTTTGTGACTGAAATGAGCACTGAGATTATGTTGGTTCAGAACAGTAGCAGAAACAGAGTAAGCTGACGGTGGAACCAACTCAACTAAATGCTGGAAGAACCTTAGAACAATGTGTACAGTCAGGATGCAAGTTATGGTCACCAAAGGAACTGGAATTCTAATGGAAATCTGGTATAGGTCACTAAAGTCATTTTTTCTTAGAGGTAGCTGAAGCCTGTGGATTATAGAAACCAGGAGATTCCTCCCTTACTGGGCCTTGGAGATGAGGTTGCTGATTTATCCCCATTTCCAGGTACAGCCAGTAGGAAGTCTGAATGAATACACACAGACACACACACAGAGACTCAAAATTCACTAGTGATTCTCACACCTCCCCCACTCCAGCATCCCCCAACCTGTATCTCCAGCAGTTGGCACCTATAGCCCAGTCTCCCAAGTAGCTAACACCCAGACCTCTTGTACTACTCACCCACTAATGTAGCACAACATAGACACAGTCACCTCACAAATACACTCACATGGGTCTTTTGAATAGTAGCATGGACTTTCAAGGCTGTCCAGCATCCACACCCAAACCCTATGCCCTTTATCTGGTCACTAGCTCAGACCTTGGGTCTTCCTGATGCTGGTCTCTCCCAACTCACTGGGTAGTCCAGCATACAGTTTGTCAGCATATGTATGTATGTCTCTCACACACAAACACACACATGAGAACACATTCATGCAGGAAATAGTTAGAAACGGAGTTTTATAAGATGGTGGGACACGCTGCAGTAATCAGGCACAAGGCTTGGCCAGACAAGCATACTGTCTTGCAGCTGTTTATATGCATCTGGTGCCTTTTAACCCCTTTAGTCCCTATTTTCCTATACTTATTACTCCCTGATCTACCTTGACCCCTTTCTTTTCCCTCTTGAGTCCCTTCCCCTAAACACCCCATAAAAAGTTTTGTCCAATCCCAGAATTCTCTGTTCCATCCCAAAATTCTGTGCCCCCTTCCATCCCACAATAAATGCTATAAACCTTCAGGCAGTGATCCCTCTTAAGTCTGCATGGCATTTCAGAGTTTGTTTGAGTCATCTTGGTAGATTTTACACCAGAGACAATGGCCTAATCTGTCTCCTCTGAGGGTCATAGGAGTAGCTGATTCACTGTGTTCCCATCTTCACTGATGAGGCTACTTGGGTTCCTCCGCCCACCATTGTTCCTTTGATCATTACTAGGTCTTTGTGTTTAACTCAATGGCCCTTCAGTCAGATAACCTGACAACCATGACCTTCCTCTGCCTTCAGGGATTAATATGCTAGCTACTGTAATTGCAACTACTATATTTTAATCTAGTGCTCAAGGGGTTAGTACTAAAACCAAGCATGTGCCCTTATCAGAAATGGATTTCAAGACACTTACTGCAAAAGATTTCTCGCTGGTTGCAGAACTAGGCCTCTCAGATTCAGGATACGGTGAATGAGATGCTGGTCTCTTACTAGCTTCTTCCTCTTCTGTGTCCTCCTCGTCAAAATTCAAACTGCCTGAAATTCCTGTCAGAATAGAGGATCAATCAGGTAACCTCTGAAAGAAGGTGTCATGAGTTCAATCACTAATTGATATATCATCTAATTCACATATGACTCTTGCATAGCTATTCTGCTCTCGCTCTTTTAATTAATTTCTGTTGTCTCAACTGCTGATTTTCTTCCTGTAATTCAAACCCCTAGTGACATTTTACAGCTGTGACTGTGCAGATGATTAAGGAGCTGTCAGGCTTTTATTAATACATATTTTACATGATATTACATGATGTAACATATTGCTTAGTATATGCTGTCATTGAATTAATTTTGCCTATTTTCACACAAAAAAGCTCTCCATGTCTTAAGAACAAAAAAAGGAAATCCAGATCAATATGCTGATACCTATCCTGTAAGTTGGACTGTACAGTTTACATCCTTTACCATTTCCCCTTAGTCTTATACATACTGAAATGGAGTATGATAATTTTTCAGTAAGAGCCCCTCCTATTCTTACATCAGTAGCAATAACTCAGGTCTCATGAACACTACTAATGATTTGATTTTTAAAACGGAAGCGCAGACCGAGTAATTCCAGGACTTATTTATTTAATCTTAACCTAAGCACAGCTATGTGGAGATGACTGTGGGTATATAACTAAAATAATTCTGGATAAAGACATTTATAAAGAGCTTCCGTACACATCACTGTTTGGTGTTTCCTTCCACTTAGAACTGCATCATTTCGTTCTGTGATTCCATTCTTTAATTTGGCTGTAGAATGGAAAAGCACATAAAGCACTATAGAAAATCAACACACTCAGCCTGCTAAGCTGAATTATTTTCTGAGAGACAGTATTATGAGTGCTCCAACATGGCACTGCATAGAAGGGGCACTGCTGGAAGTTCTTTGTCTCAGATGAAACAGAAAAATGTAGTCTTAACAACCTGTCAGTAAACTTCCCAAAGCACATTTGGAAAGAGGAAAGGCGTTAACTCTAGTACTCCGGCCAATTTCAAAATTCACTGTTTATATTCTACCTCCACTAATTTCCCCTGAAGTTTCTGGATATTCTCTCCTGCTTCCTTTCCTAACTCTTGTGTAATGCTGTTATCCATAGGTAAGCAGCTGTTGCATCTGACAACTGAATGGAAGTATTTCTACATATGGTAGTACCTTAATACATAAAGTGTACTGGAAACATTCTGGGAGACAGGCTCTGCAAAATAAAAACAAGCTGCGTACCATATTAAACGCTAGCCATTATTTTGCTGCGAAGTGCTTAGGCTGCATGCAACAAAAAAGGTTTCCTGTGGTACTGGCAGCAACATAAGATACTTGGCAGACAGAGATGGACGCTCCACTGGGAAATTATTCAATGGAATATAACTATTGAATATAAAACTCTAAAACTGTTGATTGTGACAGCCTCTGACTCAGGAAGAACACCTTTCCTGTTAGTCTCCTAAACAGTTAAATTACAGCATTTACTGGCTATAGAGGGTTCTGCTGTTGTGAAAATATTCAAGCATCATATCCAGATATAATGTATCTGGAATAAAAATACCATAAACTTTAGCAAAATGTGTAGTATAGCATTTTGTCACCAACTTCCTTGGAAAGGCCAGAAATTATACAGCACATTGATAAACCGTTAAAACATTACTGGTATGTTCCAATTAATATCAGAAGAAGGAACTGCAGTTCTGCATTTCTACATGCTGTCGAATCCACTAGCTCTGCATGTAAAAGTAATATCCTACAGACACTTGTTTCACGATTCCTCATATTTTTTAGGTTTTTTAATGCTACTGAAAAAAAATTATAAGTAGTAGAAAAGCCCCGAAAAAGACCTTTGCCCATTATCAACTCTTACCTCGTTTCTGTAAGATTTCTTGAAGATCTGGCTTGCCTGCTGTGTCTGTTAGAGCCTCTCCATCATTTTCCTGATCTGCATTGTCTTCTGTTTTGCAAGATCCAGCAGAAAGAGTTTGGAGCTTGGTCCCCAAATCTTGCACTTCTGATTTCAGGAAAGCAGCTGGTCCATCAATGCCTGCAGGCAAAAACGAAACAGAATGCTAAAATCTATTTTTTACAGCTAAAGACGCATCCCAGGATGGTTCTTCTTTTCATCTTCTCTTGCTCAAGCATCCCTTTAAAGTACTGATGTATACTTGTTCAACTTTTGTCAGAAGACTTGGGAGGAGTCAGGCCTGACTGTGGTACAGACCACCTATTACTTTAAACTTATCAGGCATCAGTTTCTCCATTTATAAATATAGTGATTGTATCTACTTTTTTACAAGGGCTTAAGCAATTAAAACGAGTTGTACTTGTCATGCGCATTGATATCCTTCAATTTATGGGCAACTACTCTATTTTCCTTTCCTTCAGGTTCCTTGTTTGCTCCTGTGCCAATAAGTGAGTGCTCTGCAGTGAACACCACAAATCAATTTGATAAAAATATCTACAGCCACAGGCAGAAAAAACTGTAAATGGATGCCCTCTATCTTTTTGGTAGAAATGAAATTTCCATGTTTAAACATGCAATACAGCTGTGCACTGCACTTTGTAATTGGTGGAGATGTCTTGATGTCAGGGGCTGGCATAATACTTAATACACATATTGTGTGCTACACAAACGCAAGTGTAGTTCCAGCTTTGGATTTCTTGCTTTCCCACTGTTTTCCTTCTTAAAACTTTACTGCTTTACCTAGTCATCAGATTTCTGACATGTTCACTGCTGTTACCACTTCTTAACAGGATTTGTTTGTACTGAGGAAGCTTCAGAACTATGGAAGCTAGTGAGGGAGCAGTTAGTTTTCATTTTTCTTTCCTGTAGTTTCAGTATAACTTAGAAGATATACTGAAGTTATATCAATCTTTTCTCTCACTCTCTTTTTGACTTAAAAGTGTCTTTTAACAGAAGCTTTCTCCCACCTGATTTTAAACACCTAAATGCTACCATCTACATCACCACTCTCCTCCCCCTTCCTATGATCCCGAAAGACATCTGGAGAAAAAGAAAAACATTCAAAAGATGGGGGATAACATAGTTCCAAACGTGATCTTCAAACCAGGTAACACTGGTTTGTTTGGGTTTTTAAAATTCTACTCTACACATTAATTCCCTATTAATATAATGGTGGTATAATAACATCCTGCAATAGCACGCATCTCAAAGCCTGAGGATGTTTCCTGTTACTTTCTTGATAGCCTGATGGGATCCTGGCTCTCATAAACTACTTCCTGACACTTCCACTGGAATGTAAGGGTTTCATTGCTGCTCTTTTTTCCTCCCTGTGACACGGAAGACTTAAGGCTCTCACTACCGTATTTCTTTTCACTCCTAACAGAATGGTCACTATTTTACTGTACTGTTTTGAGACCACTGAGTTATTGCCTTTGGCTCTGATAGCACTTTGTGCTTGTGACTTTCTGGACCACTACAGCTTGTTTGTCATGTTTCATTTGTCTCCCTGAAGCCTACAGAAAACAATAGATGAGGTAAAAAACAGCAAGAACCTTATTCAGTATTCATAAGACTTCTGTTTTGCTCGTCTGCTTCATCATTCAGTCATACGCAATCTTGAGATGGAGTATACAATGAAGAAAAGTACAGACAGTCACTACTGGATTATTTCCTTTTCTTTATCCTACAGCTTCAGAAGACTCTCTTACTTTGGATTTGTATCTCCCTACCTTTATATAAGTTCTTACCCGTTTCTACAGTTCTTCTTAGCCTAACACAAGGGAGAGATTACTCAAAGGCACATGAAGATTCTCAGCTGTCACAAAATTCAAGATAAGGTTTTTGCTTGTTTTTACAGTTCTGTATTGCTCAACCATACCATGCTATAATTCTACTTTTGTACATAGGAAGGTATGTAATCAATCTTGTTTATCACTTGACCACTGTCACAGCAATGTAGGTGCCCATCTGTGACATAAAATGCATGCACTGGCATTTGGGGGAATATTGTTGCAATCAGGTTGATTACTTACCATGTAACATAACATCACTGTGGAAAGGGGTAGGAGTTTCTACTAAAGGGGTCTGCTCCTCACACCCTTTGGGCTTTGACCTACGCAGCTTTGCCTCAGGATTTGGTTGTACCATCAACGGATCAAGACGTTTCTTCCTCTGCTTCTTCTCTAGAAGAGCTCTCTGTGATATAAAGAAAAAGCATGAAATAAGGATGAGTAACTACATCCAGAGGCAGAAACCATGCCTCAGCCATTGGCAATGACATGTCACTGATCAGGATCTCCAATAAACCTGAAATACTCTTGTAATCTCTTACAAAAATCCTAGACACAGATATCACTGTGTGTCTTTGGAGTGAGATATTGCCTTTGATTCTCCATCCAGAGCTGATGGATGATGTGGACACTTGCTTATTTTCTGATCTATCCCAAGACCATCAGCAGATAATTTTAAATCCTTTCATCCAGTCTAAACTGCAGGAACCCTTAATATAAATAGACAAATTCAGCAGTCATTTATAATCCAATATTAAACATTTCACAAAGTAAATGTTATAATATATAGCATGTTCATGCAATTTTATTACTCCATGCATCCTACTTCCTTGAGCTGACAGAGTAGACAAAACAGCTCACAAGGACTCTCTGCTCTTTCCACTGCAGTTATGATTGGACTAAACATTCCATCATTTAGCACAACAACTTCCTGTACATACGGGGAATGTATAATTTTTCCTCCCTGTTTTGTACAATTAAGCTAACTTTGTATTAAGAGAACTATCTTCAAGACTATCTGAAAATGCCAGAGTAAAGATGAGAGCCCTTCCCCTATGCATTACATGGCAATTAAGTCTTTTACTGCATTAGCATAACATTTCAAAAAATCCTTAATCAGGGCTCACTCTGCCACTGTAGTTATAAATGCTGTCACAGTGCAGCTAAAGCAAGTCAGGACTTGCAGAGCAAAAGGTTTTTGTCTCAGAAGCTATCATCTTATAGGGAGAACTCAAGCGAGTTCCCAGAAACCAGTGTTGAGAGATAAGACTTTGGAGGGGAGGGAAATTACAGTCATTAAAATAGGACTGATCCAATAAAAGGAAAATTGATCTACCTTGTAAAATTTTTCCATGTAATTCAGGATTGAAAGGAAAGAATGGTGAATCTAAATGTTAAAAAATAAAATATTACTTTTCCAAGATAGATATACATTTGATGTTTATGATTTCCTACTAAATGAGAATAGAAACAACTTCTGGACTTAAATCAAGGCAAATGGGAACACTGCACCATTTTAAAGACAGCCATGCTTCCCACGCTTAATCCTTAAAAGTTAAGGTGATGCATGAAGAAGAAGGAAAAATCATATTCTAATATTCTGTAATGCACCGCTAAGCAAATGATGTGCAAGCCCCTTGTCGTAGATGCAGTTTATCCATGCCTGCTTCCTAGGTACCTGAACACCCCCTGAAGGTTATTCTTGATGATAGAAACGCTTTCTCCATCAAATTCTTTTCAGTCTCCAAGGATCCCTCAGATAAACAATACCAACAATTCAATCCACTTGAGACATACACGGCTTTGGAACCTTTTCCTTTCCTGTTATGCCTTTTCTCTCTCTTGTTGGTTCTTTCCTCTCCTATTAGGCTTTTTATCTCAAGTGAGGTTAGTTTCTCAGGCAACCTCTTCCTGAGGAATTCCAACACAACTCAGCCCTTGGTCCTTTATTCTTTCTGCTTTTCAAGCACTTATCTAACAACAACAACAACAACAAAACCCAACACCAAAAAACCCAAAACAAAAAACAACAAAAAACAAACCAAACCGACCTTTTTTATTTAAACTCATAATTACACTTTGAAGACTGGACTGCAATACAGGTAGTGTTTGTTACTGCAGAATTATTTGCAGAATTATTACAAATATTTATTACTTGTCCTGCAGGGCAAAAATTACATAGAATTCCAAAGTGATTATCGCATTGGTCTAGAAGAAGAAAAGAAAAATAAGCAGTAGAAGTAAAATTCTTAGAAAATGCCAATTACAGATAAAATTTATTTTCTAGAAAGGTAGTCAGACCCTCCGGAAGAATTGGCATTGGTTTGTCATTGTTTGTGTGTTTTTTAAATTAATGCTGAGGAAAAGTAAAAAATTTCATGATAGTTTATAAATCTCTAATAGTTTAAACAAAAGGAGAGAGAGAAAACAAGAATCAAAACATTATACTCAGAATAAGGATTTGAGAAAAATTGTTGCCAAGGCTTCTCTACCTCACAAATAGACAGACAAGAAAAAAATAAAACAGACACATCCTAAAGGCAGTAAGAAAGTACACAGCTACTGCTAGAATGGGAAATTGAATTTGGGATCAATATAGGGTATAATAACTTCCAGAGTTACTTAACTGGTTATTCTATTAGATGAGCTTTTTTAAACCTTTCATTGCTCACCAGTCTAAAAATTTATTTTTCCTTATTTTAATACACTCTGTTTCATCAAAGAGTTTCTAGGACTCACCAATCCAACGGGATCATACTGGTTTATATTGAAACATACACTTTACTGCTGGTAGATATGACTGACCTTCTTGAAGAACTTCAGGATAATCAAAGTGACAAAACTTGATAGTAATTTAATTTGTTTTAAAAAGCCTTCTCTCTACTACTTTGCTTATTTAGACGGAAAAAATCTACAAGCCCACTGATAGGACAGATAGTAGCAGTTCATTTTCTCTACATAAGGTGGCAGAGCAGCCTTACGTGCTGTACTATGTATTCTCAGACTTATTCCGCTAAGATGAAGCAGAAAAAAGGAAACTACATTTTGGTTTTGTTTCATTTTGTCTACTAACTAGTCTTTTCCTCCAGGTCTGTGTTACAGTAAAAATTCATACAATATTACAACAAAAAATGTATATAGTTCATGAACAGGACACCAGAACACATAACCCATTAAATAAATAACAGGTACAGATTATCATGATTTGTTCAGGATTTTGTGAACTCCATGTATTAAATACTTTCAGAAACTTTTTCTTTGCACCACAGAAAAGCATAACATCAGAATACAGGATGATTAAAGGATCACAAACTACCAACTCCATTTCTAATGAGTTTCCAACAAGCTAAGAAGTCAGAAGTGTCAGATAAATATATCATAGCCGACTAGTAAGACAACTAGTTTAGTATTCTTTCTACAACTGTGATGAACAGGAAGATGGTATACAGGAAGGTTCCAATCACTCCACCCTTGAAGGTGCAATACCATACTACTAATTATTTGGCACGGTCCTACCCTAGTAGGCCATGCGGGATGGATCCTAGCTCTGAAACATCCTCTCCACTCTTCCAGCTCCTCCTTAGTTCATGCTGAGGCAGCAGTGACAATACTCGTGATGATGGCATTAATGAAACTTTGTGTCAAGAATACCATACCAGGTGCATTCAGAAATATGCCTTCAGCTTCACGCTCTCCACCGGCAGGGAGATGGCAGCATTGTACTTTGAGCTGCAGGTGCCTCAAAAGACACGGAAACACCTTCTACTGCTGGGGAACTAAGCACTTGCCTGAGCAGCCACACACTCTCTCCTCAAGGAAAAGCCACTAGCCTAGATAAAAGCATGTTGGCAGGCAGAGCTGGCCCACAGATGGAACTTGATGTCATGCATTATTATAAATAATATTTCACTGCAGTTACAGGGTTTCCAAACCCATCATAAAGATGGATGACAGGCACACGTGTTCGCTGTGGCAAATGGTTATTCCAGATTCTCTGTATGGCCAAAGGTTCTAAACATGATCCTGCTGGATCAAAACATTTTGCATTTTTTATCCCAATTCCTATAAATGTTTAGGACAAACAAATCAGGCAGGGTATCAGCTACAACCAGCAATGAGTCCATCGTGTCTGATAGTGATCCCCTATTGACCTCTACTTCTTCAGAAGGCATGGTACCATTCATGTAAAAGTTAAAAGTAGACTTTAAAAGTTAATATTCAAACCTAAATATACAATCCTAAATTACGGACTGTTAGCATTTCTCAATAAATCTCATTTGCAAGGAGGGAGGGTGGTGTTAAAATATATTTTAGTGACATTTTCCAGCTGTTGGTTTTGCAGATGATTGCAATCTCAACCAAATCCAAGAAAGCCTGAAACAAAATTGCAAAAGGGTACAAATTCTTTAAACTCACCTCTACACGATTCAACTGACAGCTGCTCTGAGGGAATTCCACCCAGCCCAGCAGCTTTGTTTTCGTGGAACAGCAATGCATCCCCATGGCAAGGTCTGAAACTAGGCACACAGTGATCACAGTGCCTAGCACTAGCAGCCAGTGATTACCACCAGCTTATGACCCAAGACAAGAGTCCTAAAACAGACACTGAGGTTCATCACCAAGCAGTCAGACCACCCTTAGTTTTGGAACTTCTTACTGAGTGGCATTTGGCACTAAATGCTCTTTTGCCGATTACTTGAACTAATGTTTTCTATTTATTTAAAAAAAACCCAAAACAACAAAACAAGCATTACTGGATAGCCTACAGGTAAAAGGATTATCCTAGCTTCCACAAATATGACCAAAGATAAATTTTACTCCTTGACTCTGAAGTGTTTTAGATAAGCACCTATATACACACAGATAAAGTTGGTAATAAATCCACTGTCTGAAGTCAAAGCTAAGCAAACTCAGACTAGAAATAATGAACAAGTTCTGGTAAAGAGGGTTATTATCCACTGCAATAGTTCCCTGAAGAACTGGATTTAAAGACCCTCAGCTGAGAGAGAGCTTTTCTAAAAAACATACTTTAATTAGAACACAGATGAATTTAATACAAGACAGTGATTTGTGGTCCATGTGAAATGGCCAGCTAGAGAATCGTAATAATCTCACATCTTCTAATCCATTTATAAGCATTTAAAATTTCACAGAGGAAGAATATTAAGGATGGACTTTATTACTTTGAAGAATATGGTGATGTAAGCATCCAGCAAACAGCGCTTTAAAAACTGAGACCTATAACCTAATATTTGACAAATGCTTGGCTGTAAATGTTTTCATTGTAGGAAAGATCTTTCTATAGCTCAGGGAAATTTTTTCTTTTCCTTTGACGCTTAAAATGGATAATTCCCTGCAGTCTTCCTCTCTTTTGATTCACTCCTGCACTGTGGTGACTCAATCCCAATGAAATGAGAGGACATATGAAAAATAAACGTATCAAAGAAATCAAGCCTACAAGCCATAGCAAGGTTGACTTAAACTAACGAAAGCCATGAAAATCTTTAAAGAAAAATGTTAGCAATGAGTTCTTTAGACGAAGCATTTTTAGCACTTCACCCCCATCTCTCAAGTCTCTAGATAGGTAATGTTTGTTTTCCTATACTTATTTTTACCAGCTTCAGCACTATCATTTACCTGATTCTCTAGTTTCAGCTGTCGTAGTTTCATGCTTTCATCCTCAAAGATGCTGGGAAAGGGAAAGAAACAAAGTAATTATTGCTAGTAAATAGTTTGCATTATAAGAGCACAGGATATTCACAGACTACAACTTCACCGCTAAGACTTTAAACAACTATAAGACATAACTTCTATCCCACGAGAAGACGAAGTTACAAAGCACTAAAAAAATACAATATACTTTATATTGTATCATAAATAGGACCAAAATGTAGTTTAATCACCTTAGTAAACTGTTCTGAAAACATTTTGTAAGCAAAAAGGGCTTCATTACTGATGGACAGATTATGAGCCACTGTAGAGGTGGGCTATAAGACAATTTATATCTGAAGGCTTAACACAGTTCAAACCAATTCAGTAAAGTCCCGGCTCCTTCATAAAATACCCAATTCCACATTAATTCAGAATTTTAGGTTTTGTCTTGGAGTCAAACCTACACCATTTTCTCCTCTTGCCAGACTTCCCAGAACTACTGTTAATACCTGAGAGAATCTGTATTTGCAACACCTGATATTAATTCCTAGAGATGAAAAAACAATTATTTCACTATTTAAGTGTTTTATAGATAACTTTTCATAAGAACTCTAGTTTTTCATTCTAAGTTGTGTTCCACATAGACTACCCATTTCCTTTTGTACGATAATGAATTATTACATAAATTGCAATTCAGAGCAGTTAACCCTACAAAGTGGAAAGCTGAATTGACAAGTAAGCACATATTCTGCCTACCACAGTTGTGCACTTTCCTCCTACACAGCTTTGACGAAGACATCTCTGCAAGTGAGAAAGCATCAGGAAGAAGATACTTAATATGGGAAACAGACAAACACTATATATTTTATTGATGGCACACAGAAAAGCAGGGCTAGCCAAAATTCATATTTAAACAGGAAATTCTCTGTCTGGTCTAGGTATGCAGAAATGTCGAATGACGTGGAGTCACAAGCTGGCAGACAGTGCTGAATATAACCCTAACAAGGGAAACCAGAGAGATGGAGAGACACAGGGAGAGAGGTGGGGTGGGGTTTCTGCAAAACACACGCCATGGAAATTGGATCATATTACATAGAGCTAACAAGAGGAGAAATGGCTCCGAGTCCCCTTAACCCCTAGTAAATCCACATTTGACCCAACTTCCAGGCAAGCAGATGACAGATAAGAGGTCATTACAGACAGACTACCCTAGCCAATACAGGACCTGTTCTGGCAGGCTGAAATATGCAGAAAAAAAGTTTTGTATACACACATATATAACAGTTTATATACTCTAAAATTGATGCTTACTGCCCAACTAATGGTATTTTAAAGCAAATTACCACTGCCATTGTTTTTCATTTTGCAGTTTTCCTTATTTCTATAATTTTTTTCTGATGTATTTCAAGTATAACAGGTCTAGGACCTTGAAAACACCTTGCTTCCAAAAACTGACATTATTCCTCACATGGAATATTCCTCACCAGTAATATGTAGTACCTCGGATTCAAAGGGAATGGGAGGGCCTGGAAAAATTAATGTCTTTCTTGAAGAGGGATGGAGAGCCATTGAGTGTCCCCACAGCAACAGCTACAGTAATACACTCATCTCCACCTGAAAACATCCACAACTTAAGAAAGAAACATGCAGAGACATATCTACTGAGTGCAGCAAGATATACATTAGTTGCCACTTGAAACTTCAACATAAAGTTAAAATGTGACATGCTTTTTATTTAAAGCATAGGTAATGGAAAAGGCCATCTTTGGCAAAGTCCGAAAAATGCTTGAAAGCTCCAGTTAAAATATTCAAGACCAAAAAAAAAGGGGGGGGCAGAGGGGACATCTTTTCATAGCCTACTGACTTAAGAAATAGATGACATTTGTTAACTGCAGTCAAGAGTTTGTTATAAAGCAATCTATGTAGCTCTGATCAATATTAGATTTACAGACACATTCTTATATAATTAAAAAGAACTACAAAGGTGTCCTGTGTAGATACAAGCTACTGTCTGTAGTTTTGCTGGTTTTCCTAATAGAAAATGCATCCCCAACAATTTGAGTCTCTTCTTCAGAAAATAAAAAGAAATAAAAACACTACCACTCTTGGAAATAAGTTTCCAGGTTTTCCTTTTTACTGGAAGACGGCAAAATGCTGAAATATTAGGACTCGCATATGTGCCTTGCGGAAATCCTCCATGAAAATTATTTACTTTGTATTTTTAGATTATTTTCTACCCACACTGGAATAAAGTTATGTAACATTAAAGACAAGTCTGAAGACTCTTGGAACAGGACCGTAATGCAGGCTACACGATGCCTCACCTCCAACTGCTTAACTGAGACTCAAACATGGTTGAAATACATAAAGATTCTAACAGGTCACAGAGCTTGATAAAGCAAAAGATAACAAGAGTGTTCTCCTTTACAATTTACTGGTATACACAGACCAAAATCACCTCGTAGCAGGCCACAAAATGAAAGCAGCCATCAATCCTTCCCATTATAAAATGCAAGGATTCATACAAGGAGCAAAATAAAAAGAAACAATTAAAGTCAAGAGTACTGTGGCACTGAAAACAGTAGCTAAAAAAAAAAAAAAATTTACACTATTTTTATTTATTCCTCCTGCAACCTTCCTTGCAGCACTTGGTCATCATGAAAGTGTAACATAATAATCAGACAAAAAAAAAGAGCTTCCCACACATACACACACTTCACACTTTTTTCTACCCACCACAGCGGGGTTGGTGGTGTTACAGGAAAAGGCTGTGCCAGAGTCACTCCCACAGCTCACCACTAAGGAATGCAAGTAGTGTGCTAATACAGCTGCAGGCTTCAAACAGAAATCCTCCTTCAGATGGACTGACTACACAGACCAGTACATCTAAGTGCTCTTCGGACATGGCCACGCAAAACCACTATGCTCTTCACTATGCTTTTCTATTTGAAGGGTTTATGCGCAGGAAGAGGAATTAAATATCCAGTAGGAACGGGAAAAATAAGCAGCATTTCCATAGCTACCACAACACAGTTCAAAACTGTGGAAAAAAAAAAAACCCACCAAACCTGTCGCCCATTCACCTTTGATAAATAAGAACTCAAAATACTCACGTAGCCTGTAAAGATCTTCCTCTTCCCAACTGCTGCAGAAGCGCAGACTACACGAGACCCTGCCCACCATTTACCAGAATCTGCTAGCTCTCCTACTAAAGCTGCATGACGGGTAATAGGCACATGCCACAGAGAAAGGAAAAATGACCCAGAATAGAAGTGAAGGCTAATGATTATCCAGGATACAGAATAAAAATGAGAGTGGGAAAGCAAGTATTTAACAAAAACACTCAATTGAGAAGATACAACAGCATGTCTGAATGTGGGAAAGACATAAAGAGGTTCACAGATCCATTCCTCCTCACAGATCCATTTCCAGATTCAACGTAGTCCAACATGAAGCAAAATGTTTTATTTTTAACTGATACCACCTCAAATTCCAGCTGAAATCAGAATTAGCCTTGTTTTCATATCATAAGCAGAAATGAAAGTGTTGCAATAGGAATATGAGTAACAAATTTATTATAGATGTGTTCATTAGATTAATTCCTAGCCATTTTCAGAATATCAAACTAACCACAATGAAGAGATAACTCAGACGTTCATATATGCAATTAAGGCTTCACTTTTATGCAGTTTATTTTCATTTCTGTAAAAAAGGCACACTACATCTATTGACAATTCTTTCAGAATGGACGTATTATTTTTCAATAACACACTGCAATTTTGGAATTACAAACTATGTTGTAAAGCATACATATGGCTAGAGAGAGTTAACACTCTTGTTTTCATGGCAACTTCTCTGTGTTCCTGAATATATTATACTTAAAAAAAACCAAAATAGTTATGTTCTAAGCACTTGGCAATTACTGCCATTGAATCAGCCAAATACAAACTCATAGTGTAATGCAACTCTGAGAATAATGAAATACGCTGATATTAAAGTAGGAGAACATAGAAAATAGGGCAAGAAAGCAATCCATCAGTCTGAAAATGGTCTTCCCATTCTGTCCAAGGTCCACACAAGAGAAAGGATTCTGAAGA